TGAAATCAAATTCCAAGCTTCTTTTGAATCGCTTCTTCTTCTTAACAACCCTTCTCACTTAAAACTTAAAAAAAAACTGTTTTAACTATTTTTTTTTATTTTAATTTATTTGATTTTATTGTGTCTCTCATTCGCTAATCCATTACTTTATGCAGCTTAACTTTTTTCCAGTAACTGTACTTTTTTCTTTGAGCAGATAAATTTACCTACTTACACTCTTTCGCTCATTTCATTCTGATTTTATACAAGTCTATACTTCCGTACTTGTGTTTTTCCGCCTTTCCTGCACTCAACTTTAATCAGTGTAACAAATTTGCGCCATTGCAACTTTAACTTTTATGTCTGTTCATTTTCACATGCACTATCTACACTGCTGGGTTATTTTCTTTATTTTTATACTTCTTCAGGCTTATCACTATGCAAGACATCAATTTATCCTTTCATGCAAATTAATACCCCCGACAGTGTTACCAAACGGCAAAGTCTACCACACAAACAGTCAGTCAGTCTACTGAACTGAGCCAAGCCACGTACTCGTACTGGCTCAGATTCGCGCTGCTGTGGTACAAAGGAAGTTGGTGCTCAAGTCGCCATCGTGCCTGCGTTCTACTCCTGCGTTAGCTGTCATTTTTGTCGCTGCTCTGCTTCTCATTTGAAATACTCATGCCATTTTTTTACATTTGTAATTCATCATTGAGATTTGTGCGCGCATTTGCATTAAATTTGATATGCTTTCATTTCTCATTTCTTTGATTTTTTTCCTTAATACATGGATATTACACTCTTTTACTGATTTGATGTCGGCTTCAGCTGCGTTTTAAGTACCATATTGAGCACTTCATGCAGATAAAACAGCTTAAGAGTAAAAAATTTCGCTCTAAAGTCACAATTTGCGGGGTATGAGCCATCCAAACGACATACCAGAGATATTACACTCAAATACTGAATTTTTTTTATAGCTGAAAGCAACTTAATAGTTACTTAATTTGATTTTTTATCATTTTAATTTTATATTATTTTATTACCTACATTATTATTTTTTTATACTAAATTTTCTTTTTTAATATATTTGATGTAACTTATTTATTACAATTGCTTTTATTTTATTTTTATCTTAATTTATTGTATTTTATTTTTTTTAACTTAATTTAGTATATTTTAATTTATATTAATTTAATTTATTTTCTTTATCTTATGTTACTTTATTTCATTTAATTTAATTTTCTTTTTAATTTCTTTGTATTTTATTTCAATTTTTTTTTATTTTATTTAATTTTTTTAATCTTATTTTATTGTATTTTATTCTATTTTATTTTAATTTTTTTATATTATCTCACTTTATTTTTTTACTTTATTTCATTTTATTTGATTAAACTTTCTTTTATTTTATTTTAGTTAACTTTATTTGCCGTTTTTTATTGTAGTTTAGCTTATTTGACTTTATTTCGTTTTTTTTTTTTATTTTATTTTATTTTTGTCTCATTTTATTATATTTTATCATATTATATTTTATTCATTTTACTTATTTTCTTCTATTTTATTTTTATTAAAATTATTTTTTTAACTTATTTTATTTTATGTTATTTCATTACATTTTATTTGCTTTCAATATTTAATTTAATTTTTGTTTTGTATTATTTTATTGTGTTTAATTTTTGTATTGTATTTTCTTTTATTTTATTTGATTTTATTTATTTTATTTTATTTAATTGTATTTTATTTTGTTTTATTTTACTTTATTTGTCTTTTTTATTTTATTTTAGTTTACTTTATTTCATTTGTTTTTATTTTATTTTACTTTATTTTTTCTATTTTATTTTTATTGTCAAAATGAAAAAAAAATTGCATTTTATTTTATTATATTTATTTAATTTTACTTATGTTCTTTTATTTTAATTTTATTTAATTTATTTTTTTATCTTATTTTATTTTATGTTATTTTATTTCATTTTAAATTCTTTGAATATTTATTTGTATTTTATTTTATTTTTTTTATATAATTTTATAGTGTTTAATATTTTTATTTTATTTAATTTTTTTATTATCTTATTTTATTTATTTTTCTTCATTTTATTTTTTTATTTTTTTAGCTATTTTTTTAATTTTCTTTTATTAAATTATTTAAGTTTATTTTATCTTATTTTACTTTATATTTCTATATTTTTTTCTATTTTCTATTTTATTTAGTTTCTTTTATTTAATTTACTTATTTTATTTTCTTTTGTTAAGTTTATTTTATTATATTTAATTTTTCTTTTTATATTATTTTATTTTATTCTCTATAATTTTATTTTAAGTTATTTTATTTAATTGTATTTTATTTTGTTTTATTTATTTTATTTGAGTTTATTTTATATTACTTTTATTTATTATTTCTTTTTTATTTTGTTTTATTTTGTTTTATTTTACATTCTTTATCTTGCTTTATTTTATTTTATTTTTATTTATTTTTTTATTTTATTTTAGTTTTTTTTTAGGTTTTGTATTTTATTTCAATTTGATAATTTTTTTTTTAATAATTATTCTCCAATTACCTGTCTAAAATGTTTAGTCCTGCAACTATCCATCTTACATACCTCACAGCCATACCACCTGACTGGTAGAGAATATATTTGTATTTTCTGCCTGACAACCATCTGAAACGTCAGCGGCAAGCGGTGGCAACTATTTGTTTATACGCGCTCTCGTAAACTAGGTAGCTATGTCCGGGAGGTATGTAGGACGGGTAGTGGCATTATAAATCTCATAAAGACCCTTTTGTGTGTGGAGTGGAGATAATTTAAAATCATTGACGATTTAAAACATATTTAAAGATTTAAAATAAATAATAAGTTCTGATACTTTATAAGTTTTAAGTATTTTCTCTTTTATAAAAGAAAATTGTAAGTTGGTTCTGGCGCTTAGTGGAGGTTAAAAAAGAATACTTATTTTGTATATGTTTTACCTTCCACATAGTTGTTATCGTAGTTCGCATTGCATATAAAATCTTTTGTTGTTTATGTTAGTTGTAAATAAATAGCATTGCAAATATTCCAAAACTAATCCACAGAAAAACAAATATATAAATGTATAAAATGCAATTGATATTTTTTGGCTTTACTAACAACGCTTAATAAATCTCTCACCATAGGCAATAATATTTACGGCCAAATGTTACTAACATAATTCATACAACGAACCTGAAATTGTAAATTGCACAAATAACTGTAAATGAACAAATGATATATACATTCTCTCTAACTTTTACAATATTTAGATGTATATTAAATAAATATAAAGAAAAGTGTAAAGAGAAAATGCGCAAAATTATTAAAAAAATTTAGAATTGAAGCAAAACGTAAAGAGCTTTGAGAGAGCTAAAAAAAAGTTTTTAATACAAAAATTAAAAGCTTATCTATAAACAAAAATATAGTTATGAGGATTTAAGATATTCCGCGTATGAATAAATGTTAAATATTAAAGATATTAATAATTTTACATTAAATTAAAAAAAAAAAATTTACTAAAATGAATTAAGCAAAAAAATTAATGAATAAAATAAAATGAATCGAATTAACTGAAAAAAGAAATAAACTACAATAAATAAAATAAACTGAAATAAAATAATATAAAAAATCAAAATACAATTAAATTAAACTAAATTAAACTAAAATAAAATGATTTAAAATGTTCGAAACAGAAGAAACAAATAAAACGAATAATAATATAAAATAAAATTAGAATGAATTGAATAAAAAATTTAAGAAAAGTAAAAAAATATCAATCAAAATAATATAAATCAAAATAAAATAAAATAAAATTAAAATATAATTAAATTAAATAATTAATTAAAATTATATAAAACAAAACAAAATAACATAACATAAATTAAAAAATTTAAATAAGGGAAAATAAAATAAAAAACAACAAAATAACTTAAATTAAAATAAAATAAAACCAAATAAAATACAATAAAAAAATTAATGAATATAAATGGAAATAACTTAAATTAAAATAAGTCAAAATAAAGTATGCTAAATAATTTAAAAAAAAATTAAAGAAAAATAAAATGATATAGAATTAAATTAAACATCTAATAGATAAAAATTAAATTAGATTGAGTAAAGTTAAACAAAAAAAATTAAATTAAATTAAATTAAATTGAATTAAATAAAATAAAATAAAATAAAATAAAATAAAATAAAATAAAATAAAATAAAATAAAATAAAATAAAATAAAATAAAATAAAATAAAATAAAATAAAAAACAAAACAAAATAAAAAAGAACAAAATAAGATTAAATAATACAAAGTAATAATAAAATAGAACCTAAATAAATTAAATAATGTAAATTAAAATAGTATAAAATAAAAATAAATAAAATAATGTGAATAAAATTAAAATAGCATAAAATATATAAATATAAATTAAAACGAATTTAATAAAATAACACTTAGAAAAATGAATGAAAAGAAAGTAAAAAATAAAAAAATAACATCGAATAAAATTAAATTATCAAAGCGATATAAAAGTAAACTAAAAAATTAAACTTAAATAGGGTAATTTAAACAAAAAAAAATTAAGAAAACTTAGATAAAATAAAGAAAAAAATAATAAAAGTAAATTAAGCAATATAAAGTAAAATAAAAAAATTAAACTGAAAAGTCTGAGTACATTTATTTCAACATACACGTATATAAATTATACTTACACATACATATTTTACAAAAATATTTTATTGGAAATTTTTTTCGGCCGAAAATATCTTTTTAAGCAACCAAAATCGTATTCGTTTTCTCTGTGCTACCCACTCTTTCATATTGTTTGTCTTGATTTATATATGTATGTACTGCCAAACTTCCTTCCGGCAAAACCATATATTACAACATAAAATATATTGAATATAACTTGAACTTTATTGCTTAGCATTACAAATTTTTATTTATCTCCGCACCACAATCTCACTGACACTATTTCTCGTGGATTCACTGTTTGTTCCATTTTCGTTTCCTTTCAGCAGCACTGCAATGGACCTAAAAACCGGTGGACTACTCGTACCACCAACTGTTAAGAATTCCAGCTGTTCCCATCCACGCTATACCAGCCACAATTTCATTGCACACATCGGCATTGCGGAGACCATCGAGGCGGTGCTCATACTCATACTAACGCTGGGCGTGATTGGTGCCAATGCGCTGGTCATATTCGTAATAAACAATCGTCGCTATTCACCATATATACATCAGCAGGTAAGTGTAGAGAGGAGGCAGGAAAATGGAGTGTGCACAATGACTTGTTTTTTTTTTTAATAATATTGGCAAGAAGAAGAAGGATAGCCGTAATTGAAGAGGAGGTGAATTTCAAACGAAATAAGATTAAATTATGACTTGAGAAGGGAAATTTATGGTTAGTTAGATAAGTTCGTATTTTGTTTGTTTGCTGTGCAGTTGTAAAAATATAAAACTCATTTAGTGTTTTTCACAGTCAAATCAAGGTTTGACAACTTGCCAAGGAGAAAAACCGAATATCGATGACTTGAAACAAAGCGAGTAGCTGTTTTCTGTCTAATAATGATTAATGAATTGCAGTATAAACCCTTTTGTTACTACTGAGTTCCTCACGCCAACAGCACTACACCTCGATTTTGCAAAAAAAAAAAAAAAAAAAAAAAAAAAAAAAAAAAAAAAAAAAAAGTTTTCTTAGCAAGAAATTAACCAACCGCCAACATTTTCTCATAATATTAGTTTCGCGACCGACTAAGGACTCCCAATAAAATAATTGTCTGTCTTGCTATTCTCAAGGACCTCTAGGTAATGTCTTTGTCAAACCTGTCGCTATTAGGTTTTAAGAAACAGTCTTAAATAACATCTAGTGGAGTTACTCCTGAAGAAAACGCATTATTGAAAAACCCGCGGAACTAGTTTTATCTCCACATCTGTATTGTTACTTTATGAATTCCCAGCACTAAAAAGGTGGATAGTAAAAATGGTGATGGATACAAGATCTAATTGACTTTACAGCATTTAAACAACTTCAATAGACGTACCCCAGTAACAGATAGTATGTTTTGTTAAGCCATCTCCTAAAGAAATTTGCGATAGTTAAGTATTATTTTGGAGTTTATGGCTTATGGCTGAAAATAAAGGTATTATTCTATATATATCTCAATGAACGAGTAGGCCAAGTTAGGTTTCATATGAAAACTCTGCCAATAAATCTTATATCAAGACTCTAACGATCCGCACACTGTCGATTGGAGTGTCGATGTGATTGTTTTTAGGAATTTGGCAGTACCTTAAAAATAAGTATCTAATGGGCATATTGATTAAAAATCAATTTGAAAAGTTTATTTTTTTTTATTTTTATGAAATAATGAGTTTGGCTGTTACCAAACAGCTGAAATCGCATATTTCGTTCCGCTATTTACCCCAAATTATGCTTTTGCGACCAGTTCCTAGCTTCAGTTCCACCCACTCACTAGCATCCATCTCCATAAGACTCGGAGCACCGTGAAATACTTCATGTCTAAATCTCTCAATCTCAATCGACTCAAGGCTACGCACTCACAAACGTAATTCTTCAGCGTTTCACCCTCCTCTGGGCAAGTTATACACTCTGCTGGCAAAATACCTAGGTTTTGGAGATAACATTAGGCCTCATTTAACATAGGTGGTACCCATCGAGAAGATTTCTTCGTGTATCCCAGATGTTGTCTTCATATTCGCGATACAGCCATAGCACTCAACCCAAATTCATAAGCAATCATTTCTTGTGTCAATCGCGGGTCTTCGTCAATTTTGGACTTCACCAGAGCTGGAAGATATTGGTCGAGCTTCTCGGTAGATATGTTCGGTGTTTGGTATATTCCAAACCACTTAGAAATTATAAAATTTGAAAGGAAGACTAATAAAGTAATTGCAAAGAATTTTGGTATTTTTAGATATGGTACTAAATTGTTGATATTGTTATTGATCCTTTTTTGGTTATTGTTGCTGTCGTAGTGGCTTTATAACACCGTATCAGCGCAAGTAATCGAAGTTCCATATCAAAAGGTTCAGGAAACATGCTGTTGTGATGCGTATGGGCGAGAAGAAAAAGGGTGTAAGATTAGTTGTTGGGGCTGATTAGTGCTGTACGAGGTTTCACTGCACAAAAACTTGATAGGTGGAGGCCAAGTCTGGATAACTAAGACTTTAATTAACAACAGTGGTCAGATCTGGTGCTCGAATTTCTGGAAGGCTCTTCAGGTAAAGAAAGTTCATGGAAGTATTAACGAACTCTTAATGAATGACGTTTAAAGCCTATCGACCATCCCATTCAGCGGTTCTTTTCTATGATGTTTTACTCTTGATATGCCTGAGTGAGGTCTTCATATAGAAGAAAGTCCACCGATGAGTATCGACCACTTCATAGTAACTCATGGTCCACCCCTTTAACCCCTCCGAGTGCATTTCTGAAGCTCTTCATAAAAAAACATCAGCCGTTTGGAGGCGGCCAGTAAAAACTTTATGCCCATCCATTTATAGAAAGAACATCCAAATGCAAACCACAAATTGGAGCAGAAGATCTACCGAAAATCGATTTCGCAGTTCCAAAATTCCAATTATATTTAGTGTAGTAAAAAGAAATCCATTATTTTACGAATAGATGGTGTTATTTACTTATATCGCAAGTCCGATCAGGCTCCGCTAGATGGTGTTAGAAAGATGACGTTTCGTACTAAACAAAATTTTCTGACAGTTTTGTGACTGAATAAACCAGTTTTATTTGAGCGAACGTCAAAAATGGACACCAGTAAAGAGAAGTTTTTCTTCAATAAGGCGGCTGAAATTGTGAACATCGCTTACGGTTCTAATCCTCTTACAGTCAATCATGCGAATTCCGGTAGTTTTGATGTAAAAGTTGCTACATACAGTGGAAGACCAATTGTCAAAAATGTCGATAAAATCGTGGGCATTGTCGAGTTCGACTGTCATATAAGCACTGTTTCCATTGCCCAAGAGCTAAAGGTTGCACAAACAACAATTTGAAAGTAATTGAATTAGACTGGATACGAAAATTAAAAAATCAAAGCCTTTAATTTCATGGATATTAAAAGGATTTCTTTTTACCACACCAATATCTTAAGGGTAAATGCCCCGTCAATATAGCTGCAAGAATTCTAAGTTCTCTTTTGCTTGGTGCCAGCAAGAGTTGGCTCGTCTTCAATCTAAGCTGTTTAGTCAAACGTCCAACAATACATTTGTAACAACACTGAGGATTCTAATGACACCCCTCCTAGTCAAACCGATGAGCACAATCACGCAGTAATTAACATATTCTTATACCAGCTATGTTCCTATAGGCACTGATTATTGGCAACTTCAAAGACTTCAACCTACTCCTCCAATGTGGGTATCATTTAAAAAGAAAGTGCCTAAAAGTTTTAGACTTCTCCTCTAACTCCTCAACTCTACAACTTCTGCTTCAGTCATTAGATGGTAAGCCCAACATCTCTGCGTGCCCTAATAAGAGAAGATGTCTAGTAAGGGGATCCATAATTTTGGTTAATTCTTTTCTTTCTACCGTGAAGAGCTCCGGTGACGTCTGAAATGCTAAGTTAGCAGCTTTAAGAAATAGCTTTCTTATAGTTAATTGACAAGTGGAAAGGGCATAACCAAACTCTTCCAAGTTCGTTCGCTATCACTTTATCTGGCATTGACACCCATACAATGCTGATAAGAACCACTTAGGAATCACGCTAAATAACCTGTGGCTATTATCTACTGGTTTTGCAATTGCAGCTTCATGTACAACCGCAAGTTACACCTGAAAATCTCTAGAATAAGGCGACTAAGGAAGCTTGAGATGATACCAAGCTTCTTTATGCCAGCGACTATGTTTTCTAGCTTTGACTCATACATATAAAATTGAGTTGAGACTGCACTTTCTGGTACTATCTTATCTTACTGGGCTTCACTCACTAGATAGCTAACTTGAAATTTGTCGTGATGGTGTCAAAAATCTTATTTTGTCTGGTAGAAATCCAACGTAGTCTAGCTACCTCGTCATTACTGGAATTGTAAATTAATATTATCCAAGGTATAGTCAACTGCCTAATAATATCAGTAATGTAGCCCAAACATAATGAGACTAAGAACCTCCTTCTGATGCATTGTCCACTTCATAATTATGTTCTCAGTTTGTTAGTCGCTCAAAATCTTATTTTCCTTATGGCAGCGTCAGCAATTTTCTTTTAATATAATTTATCATAAAACTTTTTTACATATTTTTTAATTTTCCTTCTTACTGGATGATGATTTTCTTCTTTGCAAGCATTGTGCGGCCACTTCTTCATACAAAACTCTTCTATTCTATATATATATATCCAAACATACACGTATATGTAAAGAAGTAAAAAGAAATTCTGATTTTCTATTCATTACTCCTTTACAGCCACGTTATCTACTCACCTCCTTGGCATTAAATGACCTCACCATCGGACTGCTTATCACACCGTTTGGACTGTTGCCAGCATTATTTCATTGTTGGCCGTACGGCGAGATATTTTGCCAAATACAGGTAAGCGCTGGCGTATGAGCGATATAAAATATTAAAGCGTGTAGCAAAAGTGTAAATAAGAAATAGACCAAAAACAAACAAAAAACATGGCAAAGATAAAGTGTGAGAGCTTACAAACATTTATTTGTTCATAAATACTACATTGTGTACTTATACATATATATATAATCCTTGTTGTTACATGTGTAATACAAATATAGTGGCCAATGTGGCGGCGGCAGCATCGACAAGAAAATAACAAACAAAATTGCAACAACTTTCCAGCCAACTTAAGTGGCTGATAATGCCAAACAAACAACAACATGCATACACATAAACATATAAATAAGTAAACCCCAACAAACTAAAGCAAAAATCGTAACTAGCTGATGGCCAAAGATATTACTCGTATGTACAAGTAGGTTCGGGCTATCTATGTGCGCTTCCATTTGTGGGTGGCTACAAGATGCTTTGCGCCATGTGCTTAGTGAGTCAATGAAAATCGAAAAGTGCAATGTTGTGCGAAAATAGTTTTTCACTTTCTCTACAAGAATTTGCACACTTGCCAAATTGTGCTAAATTCCAGAACGAACACGAAGAAAGGCAAATAAAGTGCTTGCTTCCTTATTACTCTTCTTTTTAAGAAGTCTATGTAATCGATAACGTAAAATTTAAGTGGAAGCTAACAGCCATTTATTTGTTGTTGTTAGGCAAGGAGATAATACTATTTATCTTGGTGAAATTTGGGACTGTTTTCTCGGTGCTGAAAATGATAAATTCTACTGCTTGATGATATAGAGAAAATTTTAATAAATTTGATAACTAAATACAACATATCTAGGTTTTAGATATTTTATTGAATTAAATTAAGTTTACTTTATTTCATCTCAATTTAACTCATTTTAATTTCCTTTCCTTTTATTTGCTTTTTTTTAATTCATTCTATTTAACTTCATTTTTAACACATTTTTATATTTAGTTTTATTTTATTCATTTAAATCAAATATATTAGTACGCATATATATTTATTTTAATTAGTCCATTTATTAATTAATTTAATTTAATCTTATCTTATATAATTTTTTTTTATTTTTTTAATTTAATTTATTCTCGTTTCATTTCATTTTATGTAAATTTGTTTAAAACAATTTAAGTTTCTTCCTTTTAATTTTTTTTGTTTAAGTAATTTTAACGTATTTTATTTAATTTATTTTAATTTAATTTAATTAAGTTTTTTATTACTTTTTTCACTTATTTATTTTATTTTATTTTAATTTATTTTGTTTATATAATATTTATATAATGGGTGCTTTATAACCGAGCTCCTTCTTCAATTTGTATTTTTGCGTCTTGACGATTTTTCAAAGACCTACAGATTATACTAAGCCACCATCGGCTGATTCTTTGTTTATGAGGAATTTCATTTCATGTCAGAATGCACTCCCTGCCGAGGGGCGACCGCAATTCAAAAATTTAACTTGGTTTAATATTTAAATTAATTTTAATATTTAATTTAATTTTTTATAACTTTTGGATGTGGATGAGGATTTGAACCCGAGCCTTCCGAATAGCAGAACGCTATGCTAACCACTCGTCTAACATGGCCGCCTTATTTAATTTCTTTTCATTTTATCTAATTTTTTAAATTACTTTATCTTTTTTATTTTATTTCATTTTATTTTATATTTTTTTCTTTTATTTTATTCTATTTTATTTAATTTTTTCTATGTTTTATTTTTTATCTCAGTTCTTTTAATTTTATCCATTTTATTTTATTTCATTTTTTTATCTTATTTTATTGTATTATATTTTATTTAATTTAATTTTATTTTGGTTTATTTCATGTTAATATAATTTATAATAAAGTATTTTATTTTATTAATTCATATTATTAATATTAATATCGATTATAGGCCATTATTTCACGAAGCTTTGATAGAATCTACATTTTTTTTTTAATTTGATTAAGGAATATTTAATTAAATTCTTAATTAATTATGTCAGTCGCAAGTATTTACATTAATGATTTTTGATTTTACTTAAAAATAAATATTCTATTTCTCTATAAAGTTAAAATGCTCCTTGCATTACGCATTCTTTTTTTATTTCCACTATCATCTTCAATAATAATTCGTGTTATTCATTTAATACAGAAATTAATTTCTCATTTAATTTACATAAAACCACGTACAGAACGCTTTGTTTCAAATGGGTGAAATTTAACTCAATTTGTTTGCTAAATTAACGACAATACGCTTAAACTCATTTATATATGCATGCGCAATGCCATCAACAAGAAATTCAATTGCAATGTTTATATTGAATTTCATATTTTGAGTTTCATTTCGTATACAATATATAATTAAATATCATGCACAAATATAAATTAACCAATAACAGCCACACACACATCCATAACTACACGCAACTGATAAAGTAGTACACCCTTGGCGTATGAGTAATCACAATTAATTTTGCTTTTGTATAGCGAAAATTCTCCAGCGACTTGAAGAGGAAATTCCAATTGAATAAATCTCCCAAATTACCGCCCGATTTAAGGTATGATTAATGGTTACTTTTGTCTTGGAAGCTGTTAACTCAAATTCAAATTGCGTTGTTGCATCCCTCACAATCGGTAACACGAGCAACTAGTTTGTTTGCCTGAACGTTGATTAGTATACAAGAGAGTGAGTACATGTGTAAACTGGAAATAGAAGACAAGCAATTGAAGTTACACAGTTATACACACTTAATAGGATGATTAAACATATATCACATTCTCGGAAATGAAGTATAGGTGCTGCAAAATGCATGGGCACCAGTGCGTATACGTAACTAAATAGACTCAAAATCAACAAAACATTATAATTCTTTTCCGGCACATTTTGAAAAATAAATAAATAAAAATTTCAACTATAACTGAAAACCATAGGCATTTTGGGTCTTCAGTTGGACATTAATTAAACATCAAGTTTCCATATATTGAATTGCGCTTTTTCTATACAGGAATAGCATAGTTGTATTTTCACACGCTGCAGAGAGTTCGCCTAATATTGGATATGCAAGTGTTTCTGTATTGTACGATGTTTTTAGAATTCACTGACAGTTTGAAACTGAATTTGCAGAGTTTAATGAAGCAATTCGCCAAAACAACCACAAAATTGTTCACATAAGCGCATATATATATGTACATACGAGTCATGCAAATATCATGAAATTGTAAACCGGTACTGCAGTTGCTCCATCTACTCAGCATTTCTCACATGTTTCCACACATTTAATATTAAATAAAGCAATGCAGGATGCCATGCCGCTACATTAACAACATTTCGCGGACTACCCACAACATCATTTTCTATTCAACCAAATATTACCTATATGGAAATACACACATTGTTTTTGTTGTTAATTGTTTGCGGAATGAAATCGTGGGCTTTTTGCTTTAAGTTTCCTATAAAAACTTTAAGGGAAAAAATCAGAAATGTTGAGGCCGATAATTTGTACTGTACAAAGAGAGGAAATTAACAGCTAATACTTGCAAATTATGTACCTTTAAAACTTACAAAGATATAAACATAAATATAAATATAAATATAAATATAAATATAAATATAAATATAAATATAAATATAAATATAAATATAAATATAAATATAAATATAAATACAAATATAAATGTAAATATATAAAAACAAAAATTTAAGTATAAATATAAATGGTATAACTAAAAAATGTTATGTTAGTATTTAGATATATACATATGTATATACTATTCATATAAATTAAACAAGTTCCATTTCACCCACTTTCAGGCCTTACTTCGCGGTGCGCTATCTCAACAAAGTGCAGTCATATTGGTCTGCATGGCTGTCGATCGATATATGTGTGCGCTGCATCCGCGAAAATATTATCAGCATTCTAGTAAAAAGGTATGTGATAAAAAATTAATTTAGAAAATGATTTTTGTAAACCATAACTAAAACTTTAAAGGTAATTCAATAAAATTTTCAATTCAAGAATTCGGGGTACGCAAGGCCTTACATACATACATATACATATATTGCAGCCAAAAGTGGAATTTGAAAAATTAGACATTTTATTTCAGAGCATTATTATCATTTTGAAGATGAAGCTAAAGTTATGTTAAGCTTTTTTGGAAAGCTTTATAAAACTTTTTTTTAAGAAACTCGAACTTTAGGGTGAGAAATTAAATCAGATTTATTACGAATTTCCAGCAAAGAATTTCGGAAGAAATATTGTGTTAAAATACCGTAACCTATTTCATATGAAATTCGTATTTCTGTCGGAAATTTTGATTATCATCACCAGTTTATGCAGATTTTCAAGTTTTCGAACAGCCTGACGGTATATTTGAAGGTATTTTTCTCCCGCCTGCCTTTGTCTCCAGCTGCCTCTGTGAACAGCCATTGCTATAAAACTTTTTCGAACCCTCAGCAGTGACCCAACTCCAGGCACGTTGGTCTTCGTATATCGCACAAAAATTGCTTCCAACGAGGGCGCATGTCTAGAAGTACCCCACCCCATTACGATGGATAGTAACACTTCAGCTTTGTCTTCACTTTTTTTTTGCAATATCTATAAGAAGTATGGACTGATAACTCGCGTACGTCTTTAAAGAAGGAGGTAAAGATTTTCTTGTTTACAAATTTTTTGCCAAAAATTTTAGTTTTTAAATTTTCTGTCAAACTTTCTTAGTGCACTAGACTTTTTTCAATCTAAATCGATTGACCCGCTTCTTAAGAATGCTTACTAGTAACGTGACGTTCAATTTGTACACAATCTGCAAAACAAAAACAAAATTCTTCCACAAAATCACTTAAGTGAAGCCTACTTTAGGGCGGCTTATCGGGAAAATAGCGCGTCTATGCACTTCAAACGCAAATAAAAGTGATAAACAATGTAAAATGTGCTTGAAAATCTACGCAAGAGACTGCGTGCTGAAACTTAACAACACGCACAGCCTTAATGGTGGTAAAGAGATAATATTGTGAAAAGAGAGAGAAAAAAATAATTAATAGTGAACTAAATAGGCGTTTGCTGGAGGAGAATGAAGGAAAAATAAAATAAAAACTCCCGCCAAGGTAGATAAGTATTAAGTAAGTAGTAGTAGTAAGTTACTGTGTCAACTTCCCTCTCGCCCCCTCTCTCTCATTTTCTTATCCTACCCCCTCGCAGCATCTACTGTAAAGTACTATAAACACCAGCGCGCTGAATTTTCTAGCTTTTTAATATTTTAATTGCATAATAACTGCAGTCAAGTGTGTACAGACGTCGAATACAAAAACAAAAACTACAAAAACAACTGGAGGGAAAACAAAACAAGCAAGATAAAATCGAGCGTTAAAAGATGACGGATCGACAGGCAGAAAAACTGCACAGACAATAAATCCCACTAAATGAAGATAAAGCACGTAGAAAATGTTGTTGGTGCGGTTAGTGAAGCCGATACAAGCTAACGAGATATGAGTGGCAAGATACTGTTGCCACAAAAGAGAAATATGCTTATGCGTAAGAGAATAGTAGGAGGATGTGCTGTGAAACGGAAACCAAAGAAATTGGGGCGAACAATGTGCACTAGAAAACAATAGAGATTGGTTAAGAAAGTAAGCAGAAGCAAACGCAGAAGCAAGCGCAGAATCCAACAGACGCTCACATTTAACGGTAAACATATAATTGTTGGAGACTAAAGGAATTTCTGAGCAGGCAAAAAATTATATGCGACAAAAAGTAGTAAAATTTAAGCTGACAGTGCGAAGTTAGAAGTAAAGGAAAAATAAAATCCAAAATTTTTCAGGTTTTCCTCCGTGATTGATGTGTTCAGAACTACGCACAAAGAGCAAGGAAAATCAAAATATTTTGTAATGAATTCTAACACAACGCTTGTTCTATCAAATAAGGCCACTGCACATACATAAATAAGAAATAATAATATAAAAAAATAAAAACAAAAAATTAATAAAAGTGTCAAGCAGCTGCTGAAGATATGTACAGCACAGACAACGCCGTGAACACGCATGCAACCACATAGAAGCTTTAGCTGTGTTGTTGGCTTATACATAGATCAACATAAATATACGAGGCATTTACAGGAAGTAGGTGTGAGTGTTCGTCATGCTGATAACAGGGTAGAGCAGACTCTGTACTTTGCTATGAGACTAGTTTGGGGTCAGTACATTGCGAACTGTTGATGCGACCACACGTTTCGGGAGCAATGTCACCTCAATATTCTGACCAAGTGTGAAAAAAGCTATGTCGTTTGGTAAAAAAAAGGTACCTTCATTGGAGAACTTAAAAAAATTGCAGTTGGCGTTTCAGAACAAGAGCAGAGACATGCTGATAAACAGAGCCTACCTCATGCAACACAACGGCCAACGGCAAAAAGGAACTACTCGCTTAATTGAGATTTCTTGAACCATTCTTGTGTTTCCCCTGATCTAGATTCAGATTAATATCCACAATAAATATTCAACCAAGCAGTTTTACAGAACTTTATCACTTTTATATAACTTCGTTGCTACATATAGCAAGTCGCTGCAGTATGCCCTCAATAGCTTCTTGAATTCCATTTTTGAGGTCTTGAATCACGTGGGCTCAAAGGAGAAAGTGGAGGGGGCTTAAATCACAAAATTTTGGGGACCACTTAAGTTCAAATCTTCGATAGATACCACGGTTCGGAAGCTTTCCCTTGAACGATCGATGGTTTTTTTGCTTGTGTGGCACACCGTCTCAATCTCAGTTCGGCTCGGTTCGGTTCGGCTCGGCTCGGATCGGCGGTCTTGGTGAAAGTAAACGTTGTCGAGATCAACACAATATCCAATTCCGACCATAAAAAATCATTAATCATCTCTCAACAGCGCAATCCATTCTCCATAACTGTTGCTGCAGCCTCATTTTCGAACAGGTAATGTGCCCGCCGGACTAAACACCGCACCTAGCAGCTAGACGTTGAGGATAGAGAGGCTTTTCAACCATAAATCTTACGTTTTCCGAGCTCCAGGCTCGTTAGTTTTACTTATTGATATAACCATCGGGGCGGAAATGGACCTCATCTGTTATAATTATTTTTCTATGAAATTTCGGATCATTTTTAAACACATCAAGGACCCAATCAGCAAAGGCACCACGTTGCTGATGATGGGTTAGCTTGAGTTCTTGTATGAACCACACACTTTTGGCTACAACAGCAATATTCTCTCATTGTAAGAGCTACAAAAATCACATACTCGCTTCCCGGACTTGCCTCGTTCGTAGTGAAAGTGAAAACGCTTGCTGTTGTCTGCATTTAGTTGCATTTCGATGCAAAAACAACGCTGTTGACCTAATTCCACAGTTAAATACAAATAATGCAATATTTTATTAGCGACAGATGTGACTGGCACGTAGCAGTCGGCCATAATAGACACAAACACGAGTATATATTTAATAAAAACTATATATATATATATATATTTCATTGAAGATTTACAGCGGTAGTAGAATTGAGGTTATGTAGAGGTGTAAAAAATAGAATAGCAAAAATAGCAAAAGCGAAAATTGGTTAAATTTAATAGTACAAATGAATAGAGAATCGATTTTATGGGAAAAATGCACCAAAATGTTAATATCAAAGAGAAAATTTTATTTAAAAAAAGCAACGATACAGGGTGCGCCATCTATGTGTGGTGAATGGAAACCTTGAATATTTTTGACAAATTCCAACCGATTACGTGCTTACTGCAGCCTTTTGTTAAGGTTATTCCAATACTATTTCAGTCATGTATCGCTTTACGCCCAAAGAACGTGCGGAAGTAGTTACAATGTACATTGAATGCAATCGTTCAGTTGTTGCAATACAGCGTGCGTATTTTTGATGACTGATGAGGCCCATTCCACGCTCTCTGGCGGTGTAAATAAACAAAACTGTCACTTTTGGGGGAAAAGAAAACTCTCATGGCATTCCTGAAATTCCACTGCATGATCAGAAGCTGACAGTTTGGGCCGCTGTCTGTTCACAAACCAACATAGGGTTGTTCTTCTTCAAAGTTGGGGAAACTGTCAGCGGGGATCGGTATCGGTGGATGTTGACGCACTCTGTTTCACCAGCGATGCGTGAAAAATGTCTGAAACATATTTGGTTCCAACAAAATGGCGCAACATGTCACACAGCGGAGTAAATGATGAAATATTTGCGACAAAAGTTCCCCAGACGTGTGGTCTCGAAAGGAGGGGGTATTGACTGGCCACCAAGATCAACGGATTTGACTGCACCAGCCTTTTTCTTGTGGGGCTGCCAACAAACCGAAGACTTTGGATGAGCTGAGGAGCAACACTCGAGCTGAAAACGCTGCTATACGCTCGAAATGCTGCAAAAAGAGTGAAATGACCTTCGAAGCCAGCAATGAAAGTCATTTGATTGACGTTGTTTTTTGAGCCAGTTTCAAATAATTGTAAGGCTTTAAATTTGATAATAAAAAATAGTTTATTAAAATTCATTGAAAATTATTCAAGTTATTCAATATTTCCATTGACCACATATAGATGGCGCACCCCGTATTATGCCGGCAAATAAGCTAGCATTTCATGTAAAATATAAAAGCTCAGCTAAAAGTTTCTCCATTAGTTTTTCTATAGGCGGCTTTGGTTTATATGCACTTAGATTATGCTAGAAACCGTTAGAAAGATGATATTTTGTAACAAAAAAAAAAGAGGACGGGAGTAGTGTTGATCACTCAACTCAGTAGTGTTTGAGCTCAGGTCAAAGATGGACACCAGCAAAGAGAAAATGCGCTCAGCTCTAACAGCTGAAAGTACTGCTTTTAGTCTTGAGATCATAACAGGCAATCCACCACAGTTTTAGTATCGTCCACATCATTCCAGCAACTTGACGTAAAAGACGCTACACTGTGTGGAAGGAGGCAATTATAGAAAA